TTCCTGCTGGACATGTAATTCTAAAACTTTGATGCATCAAAATATAATACGTTCATATTATTATTGTAATAATATTTTTAATTTAAAAATAGATTGACGTGGCTTTACTTTATGAGATTCTGTAAATAACTGTATATATATATATATATATTGTTAAATATGAGAAATATTTCTTTGAGAGTATTAATTTCATTGACTTCTCTTAATATCGTTGCTTTTTATTAGGTAATTGAAATATAGCCATAAAGAATGTTATAATCAGAACCAGAAAAAAAAAAGAAAAAAAAAAGAAAAAGAAAAAAAAGAAGAAGAAAAAATGTAACAAATGTCATCTTCGTGTCGCCTGGTATCTCTATCGATGGTGACAAAATTACTGTTAAGTTTATGTGTCGTATAGTCGCGTACGAAATTATACATCTTTGTCATGCATATATGAAATAGCGAGCCAGATTATACGAATATACATACATATATATATATATATATATATATATATATTTAATGATTATGGGTAGAGGAGTGAGAAATACATGGATTTTACCACCACACCCGCTAAATAAGCTGTGCTTAATGAACAGGCAAAATAGGAAAAGCGCTTGCATACATTTACTTCATCTCATTGACACTTGTAATTATATGCGATGCGAAATACGGGACAGACATCTTATTTTCCATCACCCATAGTTTTCAAATATTATTCTCTTACGTTCAGAAGTTAACAGCTTTTGCCGATTTTTTTTCTCTTCTGTTTTTTCTTTTTAAACTTTCTATGAGGTTGAGTTTAAGTGACTTGTAATAGCTGTTTTTTTTTTATGCACTTTACAGGAAGATAGAGAGTAAAATATTAATATGTACCCATATACAAGAGCCGGCAATTTATTGTTAAACTTCTTATATTGATAATTTTCTAATATACGATACGTTGGTCAACTAGGATATGTAATTATAATAAATAATGGACAGAGGAACTGAAAAATTTCGACTTCTTTAATTTCCATATATAAACGATAGTCGGCTAATCCGCGGCGCATAAACACTTCAATCACTATTGGCTTCTTATCAAATACTATAATTTTCAAAAGCATCGAAAAAGCAATTTGGGTATCTTTATCTTTATACTAAAAGTTGCAATTTTTAAATTGACCAGCAATTTTGAGAAAATATAATATTAAAGTAATTTTATCGATAACAGCACTACATTTGTAATATCTTACCATTTTAGGTCGATAAATAATAATTACTATTGTGCAATCTTCCAAGGTGGAATAAATACAGAACGATTGTTTTCAAATTTATCATCGCCTAAAGTATACGGGTAACTCGATCAAATGGAAGTTAAATCAAAGCATCTTTATAAAACTAAAAAAATAAAACAAAACAAAACAAAAAACAAAAAACAAAAAACAAAAAACAAAAAGAAAAGAAAAGTGACCAAGTGTCTAGTATATTCTCATTTTGGTGGAGTTTAAAACATTTATAATTTATATCATTCGTCGACGCGAACGAATATTTACGAGATTTTCCTTCGATTCATAGTCTTCTTCTTCTTCCTCCACCTCCTGTTCTTCTTCGTCTTCATTATCTCTCACATAATGTCCCTATCAGCATTGAAATGAATAGAGCGTACAAAAGAAAATGAAAAAGAGAGAAATAGACAGGAAGACAGAGGATTATCTACGCCTGCGTCGCAACGAGCAATGTGCAACGCACTTCATAATTACTATAAAGGATGAGATAAGGAATAAAGAGGGATAGATACGAGCGACTAGCGAGGGTGAAGGGAAAGGGACGGGGAAAAGAGTGCGTTCGGTAATCGGAGTACAACGAGCGTTCTCCATTCGAAGAGAAATGGATTAATGCATTTTAATGAGCACAGTAAATCTTTAGCGGAGGCGCGAGAGAAGCTGACGAGGGCAGGAATCGTTAAATAGAGACGTCCTTGTTGCGCGAGAAGGTAATGATGTCGTCGCTGAAGCGGCCGAACCCGTTCTGCTCTACGATTATGTTCTATACACACGCGTCGTCTTTATGCTAATTAGAGAAACGTGGCCTCGCTGAGATTTTTAACCAGAACGCGCAAAAGTGTCGCACTTTCGATCGTCCTTGCGACAAGAGGATCTCGAGGATTATACTTTCCTTTCTTTCATTATGAGAGGTCCGCGTAAGTCCGTAAGCGCACTCTATTGCCCTTTTTCTCTCTTTTTTTTTCTTCTTTTTTTTCTTCTTTTTTT